ACACCAGAGGTGAATTTAGAGTCCCTTCCTCTATCACTCCCCACCCGGTATTTTGAGATAGGGCCGCTCACTAAACCTGAAGCTCTCAGATTGGCTAGGCTAACCAGCCAATGAACTCCAGGGATTTTCCTAACTCCTACTTTCCTTAGGCAAGAGCTGGTGTTATAGGTGCCCAGAATTTGCGCTCAGCTTTTTAAAAAAGAACTTCTGGAGGTTTCATCATCCCCAATTTCAAGCTGTACTACAGAGCAATAGTAATAAAAACCACATGGTATCAGCATAAAACAGGCAGAATAAATCAATAGAATAAAACTGAAGACCCAGACGTAAACACACACACCTGTAGACACTTGATTTTTGACAAAGAAGCCAAAACCATACAATGAAAAAAAAAAAATCTTCAATAAATGCTGATGGTCTGACTGCATCGAATGCAAATAGATCCATATTTATCTCCATGTCCAAAAATCAAATCCAAGTGGATAAGAGACCTCAACATAAAACCAAATACACTAAATCAAAAAGAAGAGAAAGTGAGGAAGAGCCTTGAACACATTGGTACAGGAGAAAACTTCCTAAACAGAACACCAACAACTCAGGCTATAAGATCAACAATCAACAAATGGGACCTCATGAAACTGAAAAGCTTCTGAAAGGCAAAGGACACCATCAACAGGACAAAACAGTAGCCTACAGAACAGTAAAAGATTTTCACCAACCCTACATCCGACAGAGGGCTAATATCCAAAATACATAAGGAATTCAAGAAACTAAACACCAACAAACCAAATAACTCAATTAAAAAATAAGGTACAGTGTCCTTTGCTTTCTAGAAGCTTTTCAGTTTCATGAAGTGCCATTTATTAATTGTTGATCTTAGAGCCTGTGCTGTTGGTGTTCTGTTCAGGAAGTTGTTTCCTGTGCCAATGAATTCAAGGCTCTTCCCCACTTTTTCTTCTAACAGGTTTAGTGTGTCTGGTTTTATGTTGAGGTCTTTGATCCATTTGAACTTTAGTTTTGTGCAGGGTGATAAGTATGGATCTATTTGCATTTTTCTACATGTAGATATCCAGTTAGACCAGCACCATTTGTTGAAGATGCTCTTTTTTTCCATTTTGGCATCTTTGTCAAAAATCAGGTGTCCATAAGTGTGTGGATTTATTTCTGGGTCTTCTATTCAGTTCTGTTGATCCACCAGCCCATTTCTATGCCAGTACCATGCAGTTTTTATTACTGTTGCTCTATAGTACAGCTTGAGATCAAGGATAGAGATACCTCCAGAAATCTTTTATTGTAGAGGATTGTTTTAGCTGTTCTGGGTTTCTTATTATTCCATATAAAGTTGAGAATTTTTCTTTCCAGGTCTGTCAAGAATTTTATTGGTATTTTGATGGGAATTGCATTGAATCTGTAGATTGCTTTTGGAAAGATGGCCATTTTTACTATGTTAATCCTGCCGAGCCATGAGCACGGGAGATCTTTCCATCTTCTGATACCTTCTTCAATTTCTTTCTTCAGAGACTTGAATTTTTTTCATACAAGTCAATCCTCATTCAGAAAGGCAAACAGGATAGACATCGGACAATGAAGAAAACAGGGAACAGGACACCACAGAGGGCCTCTTAAAGACTCTACCCAGCAGGATATTAAAGCAGATGCTGAGAATCATAGCCAAACTTTGGGCAGAGTGCAGGGTATCTTATGAAAGAAAGGGGAGAAAGAAAGACCTGGAGGAGACTAGAGTGCCACATGGAGACCAACAGAACAAAAAAATCTGGGCACAGGGGTCTTTTTTGAGACTGATCCTCCAACCAAGGATCTGGAGATAACCTAGAATCCCTGCACAGATGTAGCCCATGGCAGCTCAGCGTGGGTTCCCTAGTAAGGGTATCAGTGGCTGTCTCTGACATGAACTCAGTGGCTGGCTCTTTGATCACCTCCTCCCAAGGGTCAGGGGCAGCCTTACCATGCCACAGAGGAAGACAGTGCAGACAGTCTGGATGAGACTTGATAGGTTAAGGTCAGATGGAAGGGGAGGAGGACCTCCCCTATCAGTGGACTGGGGAAGGGGCATGGGAGGAGAAAAGGGAGGGAGGATGGGATTGGGAGAGGATGAGGGAGGGGCTACAGCTGGGATAAAAAGTGAATAAATTGTAATACATTTTTTAAAAAATGAAAAAAAATGGGGTACAGAGCTAAACAAAGAATTTTCAACTGAGGAATCCCAAATGGCTGAGAAGCACTTAAAGAAATGTTCAGCATCTTTAATCATCAGGGAAATGCAATCAAAATGACTTTGAGACTCCATCTTACCCACATCAGAATGGCTAAGATCAAAAACTCAAGTGACAGCACATACTGGAGAGGATGTGGAGCAAGAGGAATACTCCTCCACTGCTGGTGGGAGTGTAAACTTGTACCACATTGGAAATCAATCTGGGTTGTAAAAAAAAAAAAAAACAAAACAAAACTGGGCATAGTTTTATCTCAAGATCCAGCTATACCACTCCTGGGCATATATCCAAAAGATGCTCTACCGTACCACAAGGACACTTGCTCATCTGTGTTCATAGCAGCTTTATTCCCAATAGCCAGACTCGGAAACAACCTAGATGTCTCTCAAGTGAAGAATGGATAAGAAAAATGTGGAACATTTACTTGATGGAATACTACTCAGCTATTAAAAACGAGGACATCATGAGATTTGCAAGCAAATGGATGGAACTAAGAAAGATCAGCCTGAGTGAGGTAACCCAGATGCACAAAGACACACATGTACTCGCTTATAAGTGGATAACCATGCTACAGTCCACAGACTCAAAGAAGCTAAAAAACAAGGAGGGTCCTTGATAGGATGCTTGACTCTCACTCAAAAGGGGAATTAAAATAGACATCGGAGGTACCCGGGTAGGGAGGGAAACAGGGGTGGGGCTCAGATGTGGGGAGAGCAGCGGTGAGAGAGCTGGGAGAGAACTAAAATTGGCTGCATCTCTGGGTTGAGCTGGAGACCTGAGACAGAGAGGTTCCCAGGAGTCTCTGGAGTGACTGGCTGAGACTTCTAGCAGCAGGAGATATGGCCTGAAGTAGCCATCTCCTGTAGCCACGTGGGACTCCCAGTGGAGGAAGGACACTAACCGACCCACAAAACCTTCACAAAATTTGCCCTGTTTACAAGATGTGCAGGGATAAAGATGGATCAGAGATTGAGGGAATGACCAAGCAATGACTGGCCCAGCTTGAGACTCACCCCATGGGGGAGAGCCAACCTCTGACCCTCCTAATGATACCCTGCTGTGCCTGCAGACGGGAGCCTAGCATACCTATCTTCTGAGAGGCTTCATCCAGCCTGATGGAAACAGATGCAGAAACCCACAGCCAAATAATAGGCAGAGCTTGGGGAACCTTGAGGAACAAAATTTTTAAAATAAAATAAAAATAAAAACAAGAACATGGGTTTTAGGGATCTGCTCAACATTTGCTTGCACAGCACTTTAGGGACCGAAACATCTCCCAGCCCCTAGGTACCTTTCCATGGAGAGCTGCCTGGCTGGAAGTCTCACCATGAGAGGGATTAAAAATAAATGGCTCTCCACCAGCCTCATCACATAGAACTCCAAAGGCCCCCAAGCAGGGCATCTGGCCTAATTTCATGTTCTACCCAACACTAATGATGTTCAGTCTGCCAAGAAATAATTCACATTGAAAACAGACTCCAGGGGCCTCTGTGACCCACCAATCTGAGTTTGGGAGGCTGAGTCCCACGGAGCCTCCGTATTAAGTATATCTAGCATCTGATGTCAGGTAGGCCCACTGTTAGATGCCACTTCCGTATGATTGAAAACATTGCTCTTCAGCTGCCAAGAGAGCAGGCCCAAAAATGGAAAGTGGTGGCAGTAAAGAGACCATCGACAGCCAGAGCCAGGTGGGCACACAGAGAGGGCTCTGGGAGGCTGCAGTGGTATCGGCCCTGTAGGGTCAAAGACCAGAAGGCAGAGGTGAATGAGTGAGCAGAGGAAGGCTCAAGGCCACAGGCTGCTGCGACCCAGGTCAGCCTTTCACTAGCTATAGAAGCCCAGAAATTCGGCTGCAGAGCCCTGGCCTGGTAAAGTACTCGCCTTGCAAGCACAAGGACCTAGGTTCTGTCCCAGTGCTGAGGAGAAACTGGCAGCCGAGCCTACTTTGGGAGTTCCAGGTCAGTGAGAGTCCTGACACTAGAAAGAGGGTGGGGGCTGGAGAGATGGCCCAGTAGATAAAGCTCTGGCCCTGGTAGCTTGAGTCACAGTAGTGTGTCTGTAACTACCGCTTTCCTGTGGTGCGAAGCCAGCCTGGTGACAGAGGCAGACAAGAGACCGTTTCCAACAAGGTGGAAGGTTAAGGCCCAATACCTAAGGCTTTCCGCTGACCTCTACACCCAAACCCAATGGTATACTATATGCACACACACATGCACACACACGCGCGCACACACACACACGCACACAAGCAAAGACTTTTTAAAGGTGGATAGTCTTTGAAGAAGACAGCTAAGATTGTCCACAGGCCTCTACTTGCATGCACACACACACATACACACACACCTGCACACATATACAGGAAAAGAATTCAAATGCTGCTTTTCATTGTTCTTTGAACTCACCTGTGAATTGAGAATGGCTTTCAGAGAGCTGTGTTAAATAAATTAAATAAGGTGTAGTAAGAGCCACGAATACAGAGAAGGTGCACAGTAGAGCTCAGGGACTACTTTATGGGCTGGTGACACTCAGACACCCATAGCATGATGCTGAAGGAGGGCGACACACTTGGATCATATACAACTCCAAGTAGCAACACTCCATTCCTTTTAGATACGTGCATGATTCTGTCCTCTGGTTAGGCCTGGGCAAAGCAAGCAGCCATGCGTTAGCCAGGAAGCACAAAGCCCTACCCCTCCCAGACTAGCTGGGTTCCAGTGTGTGTGTGTGTGTGAGAGAGAGAGACAGAGAGAGGAAACAAAGCTCAAAGCATCTTTCGGTGCACTTTAATCAAAATTCCATCACCACAAGAGCTCTTGTGGCACACAATGTCAGGATGGGCACATCAAGCTGGTCCTACAAATGGAACATTCATGGATCCTCACTTCAAACATGTATGAAAAATAAAATATATAATATTTATAGCTCTATAAATTTCCCCACTGAATCACTCTCCCTTTAAAATAAATTATGATATATGACGCAGCCTGGAGTCACTAAGCAAATAGCAGCCAAATGACACCCAAATGTCCAAAGTTCCGGGGGAAATCCTGGACGGGGACAGCCAGATGCTCCCAGGAACCAATGTGGCTTACAAAACAAGCTCACTCTTCACAGTGGGCTGAGCATCAAGAAGATGGGAGGCTTCTAATAGCTGTTCATCTTTTGTGGGGAATAAAATAAATCCCCAAACCACACGGAATGTTGTAGAAGCTGCAAATGAACTTTTGGCACCAGATGAGAAGAGCAGCTTTTCAAAGCCAACCCAGCGATGATCCTTAGAAGCATGGGTCTGAGAGGTGGCACAGAGGAGGGGAAGTCTGTTGGGGGAGGCTTTCCAATGGGGGGGGGTCTCCACTTTGGGGATGGTGGAGATTGTCTGGGTAGCTGGCCCTTCACCAGCTGCAATTCCCTCAGAGGGAAAGACCAGAACGCACATGACACCAAGGGAGAGACCCTTTTTCAGGTGGGGGCAGCTTCTTTGCAACGGGTTCAGTCAAAAGCAGGGATGTGCTACACAGACAAGGAACACAGGCCAGCCCATAGGATGGCCGCACAGCCATCACAGGGGACAAACATGAAGCACACATGAGACACCAAGGATCCAAAAGGACAGGCAGGGCTGGGCTGCACTAGCATTTACAGGGGCTAGAGGAAGGGCTCAGGTACTTTAACAGAAACCCTGGCGGGAAGTGGCTCAGGACTCTTCCTAAGGGATTCTGGTACTACCCCCCAAAAAACAACAAAATCGTAAAAAGAGACAAGTGAGCCTAAGATAAGGGTGGCCACACAGCCTGCCTTAGAGGCTTCCTGGGAATAGGCTCAGGCTCTTTCCTGTTTAGGCCAGAGGTTTTAGTTGACCTGGGGCATAGATGGCCTTGAACTCCCCAGAACAGCCTGATCCTGGCCTCCTGGACAGGGAGAAGGTAGCTACAAATCCAGGAGACGCTCCTCGCACGTCTCCACAGGCCACTTGGAAGCCCCTCCAAACACATCCACATTGTTGTCCACCCATGGGATGATGTTTCCAGGCATGTTCGTGGAGCAGTTGGCAATGTTGATAATTTCTTGCGCGCGGAGCACACGGTCCCATATGTTGAACTGGCTAAGCTCTCCAACAAAGGCCTGTGTGGCATCAAATCTGCCCCCAACAGTGTCCTGGAAATTGGAAACAGACTCTTTGGGACAGGTTCTCATGTAGGACTGGCCTCCTGACTTTCCAGGGAAGCAAGACGGACAGAACCATGTATGCTACAGGTCCTGAAGCCCCATGGCATTTGAGATCTGGGAAATTACTCTACTCAAACCACCCATTTTTACACAGGGAAGACTGAGGCAGAGGAGAAAGACAGTTGCCTTAAGCCTGATGCTCAGCCCCTTTCAGGAGAGTAGTGGAGCCAAGGAAGCTGGCTGTGAATGAGCCTGAAAGCCCCAACAGGCTTAGCGATCACTACTCTAGCTCTTCTCTGCCCAGGACTGGCTGGCTTCTTTGCCACCCCTCACCTAGACAGAGTTTCCTAGATCATCTTTCTTCCATTTCCCCCACAGGCAGGCACCCTAAATATTTCCTAAGTGGCCTGTGCTATATTCTGGGATCCTGAGCAAAGAGTTCCACCATCATGTACCGGGCAAGGCCAAATGCAGGGGCTCACAGGGACATTGGAGATGCCTTCCTATGTGTTTACTTTATAAGGCAGCTGGACCCAAGCCACTAGATGACCCTGTGACGAGGACTCGGCCACATCTCGTTGTCAGATGCTACTCTAGTGTGACTTAGGCTGTGCAGCCAGGGAACTTGCTCATGGGGCCAGCTGTGAGGACACAGTGGCATGGTCTGGGACACAGACACCTTGGGCAAGAGCTAAGGCATTCTGGGTGGTTGGGTTGGGCAGCCTCCTTTGCAGCATCCATGAAAGAATGAGTACGCACCTGCTCCTGCCCCAGGATGAGCACGCCTCCTGGCTTGATGGGGTGCCAGGGTGCCAGGTTTTCCCCAGTGCCGAGCTTCTCCCCATCCTGGAATGCTTCCCACATGCCATCTCGAGTGGTCCAGGTGATGCAGATGTGATGCCACTTGCCATCACTAACGAACAGGGGCAGCTGTGCGACCTGTGGGTGTCAACACAAAGGAGAGGACTTGACAGGCCCTCATCCCATGGACTGCTCCAGGGGAGTGGGGTGTCACTTAGAGTCCTGGGCTTATTTTTCCCCCACTGTCCAGGATTCCTGCCGGATTCCCTTCCCTGTCTTGTGAGTGACACACCCAAAGCTCATCCACCTTGTGCGTGACAATCAGGAGACTGGATGAAGCTTCAAGACACTGAACACTCTTGGTTCTGGGCCTGGCTGCAGACTCCCATGCTAGCCTGAGTTCTCTGTATGGAACCTGACAGGTGGCACACAGGGACCTGTGTCCCAAGCCTTGCCTGTGCCAAGGGAAGGGCAGGAGGTCTCCACGCATGTGTGTGTCAGCATAGTACAGGAGTATGCACATATAGACCGCACACTCGACTACAGGCAAGCCCGGGCAGCCTGTGAGCACAAGGCTGGGATAGCCCTGTTGTTACAGTGGGTCTCCTAGCAACCTGAAGTCTCCCTCCCAGGAATTGGATGTTTACAAGAGGCCTAAAGGGAGAGGAAAACAAGACTCTCAGGCACTACAGTGTTATTTGAACAATAAATCCTTGGCTCAGGAAAGCTGTCCCTGCTAGAAGCCTCGAAGGCTCGGTCCATTCCACAGAACTTCCAACTTCTCCACAGTGCTCCCAAAGTAAACAAACTCCACCCAGTGGCAGTTCGATAAAGATCACAGACAGGCAGGGGTCTCTTCTTCACCCACTCCAATGGAGGCTGGTCTTGGGCCATCTGCAGCAGGGCAGCCATTCAAATGCTGGACATTATTTTATTTTGCTGAATCTAACTTTAGAAGAAAAGTTTGACTCATTTGTTTTGTTTACAGACAGGGTTTTGCTGTGTGGCCTAAGCTGCCTTTAAATTCATTCATCCTGTGTTAGCTTCCTAAAGACTTAAGGAGTGTTCTACCATGCCCAGCTAGGTGCTTGAGTGACCAGAGGCTCAAAACTAGCCTTTCAAGACCATAACCCTGAATGCATGGAAATGGGGCATCTTCTTGGGGACAGGCAAGACCATAGGAGGAGAGAACAGTCACCAGGGGCTGGAAAGGGCTGGGCAGGAGTTGACTACAACGATAAATGAGGGAATATGGCAGAGGGACTGTTTTATATTTTTATTGTGGTGTATGCATTTGTCAAGGCCACCTAAAACTGAAATGTACATTTAAAAGGTCAGTTTTGCAGTGTGTAAATTTTACCTCAATAAGCCTGATCCCTTTAAAATATATGCCTCTCTCACACAGGTACCCTCAACCAGAACATTTAGGAAGAGACCACACAGGCGGTCCCTGCATGTAGGGTCCTGGTTTCCTACCCCATCCATCACCCTGGCCAGACTCAGAGCTAGGGTCTCCATGGGCTGCAGATACCCTATGCCACCCTGATCCCACTGCCAGCCCTCTGGAGTGGGAGTGCCTCCTCCATGCTGAGGGCAACCACCACACTCCTAGTCTGGGGGTGAAACAGACTGTGGTTGGCCAGGATCTGCTCTGTGTGTTACGGGAAGCCAGCCAAGTGCTAACTTCCTCCCGCGTCTGCCCCCTTGGACACCAGGGTGAAGTTCCAGCAGGCCTCACCTTGTCGTTGATGAGCAGCTCGATGGGATTATTACCCCACTCTATCAGCACAATCTCATTGGCTTGCCCAGGCACAGCATAGGAGAACGGCGTGCCGATGCCTGGCGAGGCGCTGGACCGCAGCCACAGGCAGATGGTGAAGGCGTACAGCTCCGGCAATGTCTTCTTGATCTTGCCATACAGGTAGTTTGTGCGGAGAGGAAGGGATACTTTGAATGCATCTGGTGACTTGAATGCACTGTTGCCTGGGTGGAAGGAAGAGGGCTTAGAGCAGGGTGGTCTGGTCCAGGTGTACCATCAGGACCCATCCCTCAGGCAGACCCAGAGCACTCCAGCTCCTGGTCAAAGTACCCAAACCCAGCAGTCCAACGGACAGTCCTGGCCTTCTAGAAGCTTACGTTCTGGTGAGAAAGCAGTCCAAAGACGGCAGAAGGAGAAAAGGAAAAGAGAGGCGGTGATTTCCTCTAGGAGGACAGTGGCTAGAGGAAGACAAAGGGAGGGCTAAGGAGTCATGCAAATCCTGTGGCATGAGGACACATGTGGATGAGAATCCAGGCAGAGGTGTCTGCAAGTATAAGGCCTCAAGATGCTCTGGAACCATGAAGGGGAAGGAATATTTTGTGAGAAATACACTAGACACCTTAGAGAACTTTCCACCTCTGAGACAGTCTCCTTGTGTACGTCTAGCCTGTAATTCCTACTCAGACCAGAGATCCATCAGCCTCTGCCTCCTAAGTACTGGTATTGAGGATATACGCCTCCATGTCCAGCTGTCTGCATCATTTAGGATAGAAAAAGAGGCTTCGGAGCAAGAGAGATGGCCCAGCAGCTAAGCACACTTACTGCTCATCCAGAGGATTCGGGTTGGACCCCCAATAGTCACATGACAGTTCACAACCATCTGTACCTCCGGGGAATCTAATGCTCTCTTCTGGCCTCCACACACACTGTACGTACATGGCTTACATACATACACCCCGGCACATATACATACACATAAAACAACAACAACAACAAAATGTTTAAAGGGGCCTCTTCATTCATTCTTCTAGTAAAGGCCTTGCTGTGTAACCTGTAGCCTAGGCTGGCTTTCAACTCACAATCCTGCTTTAGCCAAACAAGTAGTGGGTTTACAGGTGTATACCACACAGCTTGCAAGAAAGTCATACAAAAACAAAAAACTCCCAACTCTGGTCCCTTCTGATTACCATTTCCTAGTCTCACTGTCTCAATGACTAGACACTGGAGGAGGAGTTTAGAGAGACACTGGATTTAGTTTTCTTGTTCTGTTAAAACCAGGAACATCTTCCTCAACTGAGTCTTATTTCCTTCCATCCCTCCTTGAGCCCTCGGTCCCTCTGGCTTCTTCGATAAGGGCAATCTTTGAAACCCAAGGGACCAGAGCTTGAAGGAAGAATGTCTCCCGGGGCTGAGCACTCTGATAAACACTTGTGAACAAGGAAGCCTGCATCACTTGTCGTAGTAACTGATGACCACTGCTCAGGCAAGACGCTCAGGCTTGAGGTCCTGACAGCTTTCCTTAAAAGTGGCAGTTAGTCTCAATCCCTGATGGGAAATTCTTTGCTCCTGGCATGGCTTTCCTTCTCAAGAGAGGACTTCATTGCTGGACTGTTTTCTGTAATGTGGAACCGGGGATGCGGGAGATAGATACATGCTCCATGCAGAGGTGCCCCCACCCTTAGGCTAACACCTAGCCAGACCTTTAGCCTTTCCAGGCCTCACTGGGAGTGGCGAGACACACACTTCCTGGTCCCCCATCTCAGGCTGTCCCCATGGACATGGCACATCTGAAGTCTTTGAAAACAAACTCTTACATGGCCTGTAACTTTCAACATAGCCTTGATTTAAGCTCAGATTAATCTAACAGCTGTGTTACCCAAGTTGGCAGGAAACTACTTGATTCTGTGAGTGGTCAAAGTGATAGCTTTCCTTGTACATAGATCCTGCCAGTGAAGGAACCTCAGTGTTCTTCACTCATTCAACAACTACTTACTAAGCACCCCTAAAGGTCCAGTCAGACAACCTTATCCCATCATGATCTTCCAGACTTGAAATCCAGGGCTCAGTCCTTATCTGAAGAGGTCTCCTGTACAGCCAGACTCCAGGGTCACCTTTCTGGTCTTTCTGGGTTTCCCATCTAGTATCTGCTCATGCTTCTGTGGTTGAGTAGTTTCCCCGATTTATCCCGACCTCTCACGGTAGGCATTCCTCTAAACAAGCTATGGACTTGCTGAGCACCTGTCCAGAGTTGGAAAGACCTGGCTATCTCAAGCACCCAAAGAAGTAAGCCACAATAAAAGCAAGGGCTTAGACCTTATTATGCTCAAGAAAAATAGAGAACTGGACAATACCTGCTCCAATTTTGCAGGTTGTGCAAAACTGTTGTGTTGAAGCTTCAGAGAAATGACTTATCCAAGGCCACACAGCTATTGAACCAATAGGACCGGAAGTTCCTCTTTCTACTACATGTAGCCACTGGTGCTTAGTCTTTGAGTGGCAAATGGCTGTGTTCATAATGAAGGCATCATTATCTAATAAGGAGAAATGGCTTCCATGCTTGCAGGTGGGCAGGCTGGCCAATTTAGTAAGACTCAGGGTCGGTAATATCGTTATGTCGGTGACAACAGATAGGTTTAATTAGAGCTGGGAGAGCCAAGAGGTAGAGAATGGGGCTCTAGCCTGGTACCCTTTATTTGAATAAAACAGCTTGGAGGTTCAGAGGAAACTTAGTTAGAACCAATTAAGGAATTAAAAGGCTTGACCAATAAATCAGAAACTGCAGGTGGTGGACAAGCCTAAGGAGGGGGGCAGGCAGCCTGGGGCTTGAAGGGAGATGGCCTGGTCTTCTCAGTGCCAATGCTGATTTCAACACCCAGCCAGCTGCGCCTGGCCAGCTGGCCCAGACGAGGAAGACTCTGTAAATGAACAGGTCTTGCAACCAAGAGAAAGGGACATCCTGAGGACATGGGTGCTGTGCAGAGCTAGCGGCTAACTGCTGGGCTCTAAAGATTTCAAGCCCAGCAGGGCTAAAAGCCCATTTCTTCTCTGGCATCACTACCAAACTTCTCGAGCTGCGGAGACTGAAAGCATCATCATTGCCCCATCCGTGCCTGCCATGGATACCTGATGCAGGGCTAATTGAAGATACAGAGCCCACATCTGATGTTAGATGATGGACGCAGGACAGAGAGTCTCCGAAGCCTTCCTAACTTGCCGCACAGTTGAGGTCTACCTCTGTTGGGCTCGGCTGAGCACTCTAAGGAACCTGGTGGAGCTCCCACTCCTGGTACACTTCGGGGGCTGGGCACTTACACACCCTCTACAGTGGACACAAAACAGAATGGGCACAAACTAAGAGGTGCCCAGAAACAAATGGCCTACCAGATGGTCACTTTCCTTTAAGACTCATTCCAGAATTGAGTAGGTGGAGCACAAAGAAAAAGTCTAGCATGCCCGTGGTGGAGTCTAGGGAAGTCTGGGACTGGAGATGGCTCAGCAATTAAGAACACGTGTTGATCTTGCAGAGGACCTGGGCTCATTTCTCGGCACCCACAGAGTGACTCACGACCACTATTTCCAAGGGATCCAATACCCTTTTCTAGGCTCCACGAGCACCAGGTCTAAATATGGCACACATGTATATGTAGGCAAAATACCATACACACAAACACACATACACCCACAAGTGTGTGTAGCACACAGCAGCTCAGCGGCTCCTCTGAACCACTGTTGTACAAATGGTTATAACGGCCAGCATCCTATGGCCCATTCAGCTGTGGGCTTTCAGTGAGAACTAAGGGGCGTGAATACGGGTGCCAGAACCAGCATGGCCTGGGCTCGGCTATGAGCCCTGACTGTTCCCTTCTGGTTAAGCACAGGTGGGAAAGTTATGAAGCGGCAGCTCCCAAGAACTGTTCCACTGGCCTGGAGTCCAAGAACAGGCAATGGAGAGGCTAGGCTTTTGTCACCATGACAAGTGTCTCAGGCTTCTTTGACAAGTGTCCATAAAGGAAACTTGCCTGCCTGAGAAATGAGCATCTTCCTCATCTGTGAAGTGGGTACGCTGCTCTGATTACTGCCTAGCACGGTGTCCATTCTCTAACCCGAATTTCTACTGACCCATCTCCTTGTTGGCAAGCTAACCACTGTGCCAAGGGAGGCACACAGCCGCAGAGGCCCCCCCTTCAGTTACATATTACTGTGCTCACTCCACAGCCCCGTGTTTCCCAAGGACACGCTGTGAATCTGCTGCCCTCTCTTGTCAGGCAGGAAGAGCATCAGAGGCAGCTATTTTCCTTTGACAAAGGCTCTGAGACCTAGTGAGTCTCTCGATATCACCTAGCAGTAGAAGAAGGCTGAGAAGAAACTGCTCTGAAAACTCAAGAATCAATGTCAAGCCAGAAATGGCAGCACATGTCTGTAATCCCAGCATTTGGAGACGGAGGCAGGAGGACGGCAAGTTAAAGGCCAGGTTAGGCTTTATAACAAGATGGTGCTCCAAGGGAGAAAAAGCATCAAAACAAACAAACAAAACCAACCAGAATCTAAGTCAAATAGGTAATCCACACTTCCCATCCTTTTATTAGAAAAGCAAGGAAAATCATACAAAACAGGAAGGAGATGTGGGAAACCTGAGACTTATAATGAAACTATGTCCCATCAGCCCATGCTTTCTGCAATCTGACTCTTCTTCTCACTGCAAGAGTCACTGAACATCTTTCTATTGGATGGTCTCCTGCCAATCATGAAATTGAAATTGCCTTCATCAGCTTAGTGAATCTGAGATTATAATCCTATACCCTCTACTACCAAACTTAAAATTCCACAGGCCACCCAGAGATTTAGGGGCTGAGACTACAAAGGGAAACATCTAGGACCCTTAATCTCGTCTCCCTTCTGTCTCCCATGGGAGAATCCAACCTACCAGAGCATGAGAGGGTAAAAGATAAACAGAATCTGCTGTAATGACTAGTTAAAAAGAGCCTAAACTGACCATCTGGCAGGAGGTCGGAGGTCAGGCTGTTTCTTCAAGCTGGTCCTGGGTTCCTCGGTTTTCTCCTGGATAACGCTGGTAGGGCTAAGCGCTACTTCTCATGGCCACTGTCAATCACCTCTGTCCTTTACACAAACACCTAAGAACCATCTCCACGCCACGCCACTATCATTGCTTCACTGCCGTCCATACATGGACATCCTAGGTCCGCTCAAGGTGGTAGAAAGGAGGCCATGCTCAGACTGAGCACGGGGCACACTGCGCTCACCTCGCTCCAGCTCAGACACCCTCTGCAGCAGTGCGTTCAGCGTGCTCTCGGTCTTCTGCCGGTGAGCTGAGGTCTCATTGTGGAGCAGCGACTTCTCATCCTCCAGCTCAGCCACCTTGCGTAGCAACTGCCTCTCCAGCTCCCCCAGCCTCCTCTGGAGCACCTCTCGAAAGTCGCTTGGCAGCCCGGCATTAGACACATTTGTGCGGAGCTGGAGCTTTGCAAGGGGGGTGGGGGGAGAGATTCAGGCCAGTTGAATAGAAACTGTAGCACGCCGTTCCAATGACCCAAGCACACAGTGAGGAGCTTCCAAAGCAGCATTAAATGGTGCCAGTGGCTCAAAAGAGGACATTTTACTGATGTATCTTTTTTGGGATAGAGAAAGGCTTTCAAAGTCAGACAAAAAATTATTTCCCTGCAATATTTGAAACTTGTGAATCTCACTTTCTCCTCTGGAAAAGCTGCTTTCCTCCTCTTATTGAAAACCCTAAAAATTTAACCAACATCTCTAATTCTATGTCATACACAGCCCAAAACATAAGCCAGGCTTTTTTTTTTTTTTTTTTCCAACTAGCTAATCAATGGAACTCAAAGCCAGTGAGCTTTCATCTGGAAATGAACATGGTCCCCAAGTTCTGAAATGGTACAAGGGCAAACGGGCTCAGAGATATTCCTGGAAAATGACAGGCACAAGACAGTACTATTCTAAACCTCAGAAAGCTTTGTATTCAACGCTGTATCCAGATCCTCACTTCCTATTTCTCTTAGTCCTCTGCCATCATGCCAGCTCGGGAGGAAGCCTGCCACCCTCAGCCACCAGCCCTTGGCAAGCTCCTGTATCTCTGTGTCCCAATGTCCCAGATTATAAATTGTAGACGAGAGGACCTGCCTCGTGCTATTCTCTATTACAAGGGTTAAAATTAAATAATCTGCCTGAGTCACATTTAGAACTCAAGAAGTGTTAGCTCTTAGTAACCATAATGACTCATGGGATCTACAGATGCTGAGATACTGTATATAGCAATTATGCCAAAAGAAACCCAATAATTTAGCAATAATTAACACCTGTAATTTAAACCTCATGTTTGCTAATAGGTATTTTTGATAAACGCTGTTAACAGAAATGCCCACACGTCTTAAACAAGGTGGGAAGTAAGATGAAAATTAATTGAAGATTTCTCTCCCAAAGTTCCAAACTGACAACGGGAGAAGACAGTGGGATAAAGTCCGGTCCCCTAAAGTCATGGCGAAGGGCACCTTATTAAGAACGCTCTGACTGGACGAACGGCGACATCTTTGAGGTTGATAAGGGGCTTGTCTGCATTCTGGGGTCGCCGCCCTCCCCCCTCCACTCTTCCGCAGAACAGTCAAACCCAGCCCTCCCACACCCCGACCCAATTTGTCAAAGAAAAACACCAGATGCCCAGGGGCAGCTGACCTCCGGCGACAGACTCTCAGCCCTGGGCACAGCCAGCGGAAGCCTGTCCCGCTTCCGAACGCGGAGCTTTGCAAAGAGGAAGCAGGATGCCAGGGTCACCGGGTATACCCTCCAGGCTTGGCCATCTGGGTTCACTAGCCAAAAACCTCGGTAAGTTCACGGTGAATCTAGTGGTTAAGTCCCCGCGAGCAACGGGATGGAGATGGGGGTGGGGACTTCACCTTTCCCCCGTCAGACCAGGGGCCAGAGGACAGCTAGGAGAGAAGCCAACCCAGCAAGGTCCAGAGCAGGAGCGAGCCTTGCACCCCGGAACTCTGCTCTCCCCACGAGGGACGCGCCCAGCCAGCCCAGGGACCCATTTCTCCTGCACCCTCTGCCCCGCGATCCCGGGGACCAGCGTCCGCCGGACGCCCTCGCGCGCAGCTACCTCGAGGCTCTCCAAGCGGTCCTTGAGGGTCTGCAGCGAGCGGCTGAGCTGCTCCACGACGTGACCCGGGTCCCGCGGCAGGTCGCCCATGGTGTCTTTGCCCGTGGCCCCGCGCGCCTTGCCGCCCGCCAGCCCCTCACAGCGCGCCAGCTTGCTGGTGAGCTCTCGGATGGCCTCGCGCTGGGCGCCCAGCGTCTCCTTCTGCTGCACGACGGTCTCGCGTAGCTGCAGCACGGCGGCTCGCAGCTCCTCCTCGGGGCTCAGCGCGCCGCCCTGCATGGGCATCGCGGGCAGCGGGCAGCCGGCGCGCGCCGCCTCGGGGGGCAACGCGGTGCACACGAAGCGACTGCCGGGTAGCGGGCTGTCCTGGGCTCCTCCGGCGGCCACGGCGAGCGCCACGCCGGCGGTCAGCAGCGCCAGCATCTCGCCGACCCGAGGGCGCTCACTGCAGCATGGGTCTCCGGCGTGCCGTCTGGGCGCCTTCGCGGCCGGCCGCGTCCGTCCGAGCGCGGCGCTCGAGGGAACCGCGTGCAGCGCGGATCCGGCAGCACAAGCGCCGCCTGCCGTCGCAGAAACCCCGCTCCCCGGCTCGCGCCGCGCTCTGGCCCCGGCTCGGCCCGCGCGCCCTTTCTTAAGCTTGGAGGGTGGGGCCTCCGCCGTGCGGGGCTGGCGCCGCGCTCTCTGATTGGCCCGCTGGTGTTCGCGTCACGCGGAAGGCGGGGCGGGGAGCATCTCTCAGCAGGCCCGGGCCGCTGGGCTCCAGCGTGGGCTGGGTTCCTGAGACGCCAGCGTGGGGTCCCCGAGGCTGTTGGGAAAGGAAAACTGGGCTTCAGAACGGCCATAGAAAGCGTTGGCTGGCCTCTCTCAGGAGCTCCTTGCGGGCACAAGGCAGAGAAGCTCTGGGGATACCCTGACGCCCACGTTGGGAGCTGATGGCGCGGCTTCCGGCGCCGCTTGAGAAACCCTGACCGAGATGAGTCCACCTGCCCAGAGGAATTCCCCCGGTGGGACTCGAACCCGGGACTTCCGCGCGAGCCACCCCCGCGGCCCGCGTAGGTTTCTTCATTCTGGGCGCTGGAAGCTCGACGGCCGCTTGCAGAGGCGGACAGTCTGTAGGCGGCTCCAGATCCCGGGTCCAACCCCAGAGAACGCAGAGGAATAAAAAAACAAAACAAAAAACCACCTCAGGCCAGAGGGGAAAGGAATGGGTCCTGGAAGAAGGGGGCGCCAACACAGGTGACCAGGAGATTGTAATCACGAGGTTCCTCGAAGTTTCCTATGAGCAGACGACATCCCCCTAGGCTTGACCTTATTTATTTACTATGACCTCGGTTTGATGAGAACATCCAACAGGAGTAAACATGACGGTGCCAAGAGTCTAAAAGGTGCCCCGTTCTTATAAATGGGGGCGCCCAACAAGTCTGCTTTACGTCTGGAACCTGGTACCATCAGATTCTTGGAGAGAACCTAAAATTAACACCTAGAAATCTCCAAAAGATTGGGGGGTGGGGAGGAGTATTTAAAAATCTTACTCATGGCTTACAAGTTCAGAACAGTTACACAGCTTATTACAGACTGTGCTGGTTTACTGTGAATTAAAAATGAAAAAAAAAATTCCCCTCTTTTTAAAGAAATCCTGTTGCAAGGTCATTAATCACATTATCCATTCTACCAGAAATAAATGGATTTGTCACTTGGGCACATAGGCTGAGGTTGATTCTGGAAACAAATTGTATCAAAATAAATGAAATTATTATGATAATACAAAATAGACTGCAGTGATTAATCTCTAGAAACCAAATTCTGACCTGTTTTGCACTTCAAACAATAGCTTCTGTTATGTAAATAGTTGTGGGGTTTTCAAGGACAATGTTGCTAAATTATAAGGAAAGTTTGTTCATGAAAAATCTCTTCAAGGATTAAAAACTACAGGCAGGAAACCCAGTCAACACAGGATCCAGAGCAGAGGACAAGGCAAGCAGTGACAATTCAGGTAACAGTGTTCATCGGTGGAAAAGGTGTGGTGTAGCTAGGGACGGAGGATAAACAATGGGCTAATGTCTCTGCTGCTTACACTCACCACGAAGTTTCACCTTGTTAAATTTGACCTTGAGTCTATGATTTCTTCCTAGACCTTCTTTCTTTGGCTACTTGGAACCCCAAAAGCTCACATAAACCCACACGGACACAAATTGCAATAGTGAAGGCAGCAGTATTTTAAAGCGCTTTCTCAAATAGTACCTTTTAGATGACCCTGTAAGGTACCAAATCCAGGCATGCTCAGAATTATCCAAATATAGACATGTTGCTTGAAGTTTCCACTCATAGATTTGATGTTCTTTTACTCATGGACCAGGGTAGATCCTAATTGGGTGTGACAATAGATTATTATTGTTCCTATTTAGTTCTCTGGTCCTTTCATGACATGGACTAATAATTCATATTTGCAACTACTTGAAGCCGAGGCTTGTCCTTTTAATAATTAAATCAAGTGCATTTCCAGAATTCTAATTTCCTCCTGACCAAAGAAGGCAGTGTACAAGAAGACATAAAAATAGCATATATTCCCAAAATAATTGCTCTTAAATATCTTACAAGAGTTTCCAATATGGGAAGTGATCAGCAAAGTTGCCAGACCCCAGATGGAAAGGCCCCGGCATTGAGGATGTTATTTCTCTGGAGACAGTAAAATTAGAAGACTTATGCTATTTGGGGTTTTATTTTGTTTTCCTGGTACAGTGGAAAAAATCTGCTGGCTTAGGAATGAGGCGTTCCAGTCCCAGTGCCAACTGTTACTAGCTAAGTGGTTTGGGGCAAGCCATTTTCTCTTCTTTGGCCCTTGCAGGGAAGATAAGGCAGTTAGCATCAACTCTTTAATGGCCCTTCTGGCTTTATTCAAGAGCTTGGTGTTTCAGGAAGGAAGGAATCACTCTTCGTATGATAAACACTACAAAGCAGTGGTTTTCTTCCGTGTGTGTGCTATGAACTGCCTGTAGCCAAGGCAGGGTACGGAAGAGCAGGCTAGTCCTGCAAACAGCAGATAGACCTCCATCCAGGAGGTGCTGTGGCGATGGTCGTAGCCTGCGCCTGACAGCACGGGAGCGCTGCCTTGATTTCCCCCTCGCAGCACAGAAACTGTCTACCTGAAAGATCCAGCATGCGTGACTCACGCTACCCTTGAGAATGGCTGTGCAAGCGACTGAGCCCACAGCTTTTTCTGCCACTGGAGAAAGTCGTGCAGATCTGCAGCATGAATCACTGCCACCTAATCTCTTAGTGTAACTGAAGCCGCAGGCAGCATGGTGGCCGCCCACTCATTCACTACGTCTGCCGGTCCCAGGTCAGCCGAGCCGGTATGGACTGAACCCATGTGCTGGGAATCCTGATGAGCTCATTCTACCTCCATTTTATTGCCCCATCTGTTTGGCTCCCTGCTTCTTCTCACATGCATTTTTATCTTGGTCTTCTGGGAAATGTGCTAATTTCCACCATGGTGTCAGAGGAACCCATCTTATACAGTTTCTCTCTCTCTCTTTCTCTCTCTCTCTCTCTCTTCTGCATTTCCTCCTCTCTCAAAGCCACTTGGGAAGTCAAGAATGGGGGTGTGAGCTCAATAACACAGAATTCAAGGACAGCTTCCTGCAAACATGACTCAGGAACTGTCCTCAGTGCTGAGTTTCAGTCAGAGGGGAATTCAGAATGGTGTGTGTGTACTTGTGTGCACATGGGATTCAATATTGGAGGCACGAAAGGATCGGGATTAATCCCCTTTAATACACAAAATGCTAATACCCTTTTATAAGTGTATTTTTCACTAGACCAAACTGCCTGATAAAGTAGAAAGGGCTTCAGTTTGGAGTCAGGCAGCTCTTGTTTCAATCCCAGTTTTATAACTTGAGAGTATAGCCTAACCTCCCCAAACCTTAGTTTTCTTATTTCTAAAATTAAAAGTAAATTTATGAGTAAACATTGTTTCTGGGCTTGAGCAAGACAGTGTTTCCAGACACGTTTAGCATATAGCAAGTGCACAGTAAATGCTACTGTAATTTTCTTCCCCCTTTCTCCACCAAAGCTGGACCTGAATTATATAAGTCCTATTACAAACAAAATTAAAATTTCCTCTTATTCTGTACAATATCCTTTAGAACTAAATACAGTGAAAGTCTGGGGCAGCACAAGCCAGCTTCCTCAGACAGATGACGAGGACTGAGAACTCCAGAAAAATGTACAAATCTCAGTAAATAAAAAATATTTAACTGTGTGTGTATGTGTTTAAGATAAATCATGGTATTATGGAGATTTAATCACGTGAACCATTTTGCATTTATGCTAACTTGGTGTCTATGTAAGGGGACCCAACTAAAAGACTGGTTGTATTTAACATTTCAGCAAATGAATTTAAATTGCTATGGGATCTAAGAGAAGCCTGCCACTCTGATAAAGCAAATTTTTCTTTCTTTGCTGCATCTGGCTTCTCCCTGAATGATGTATCTCTGGTTTAATTTTGGAGCATGTGATAGGAAACATTGACTTTCAGAAAATGTTCCTGTGCAAGCGTGTGTTGCAAGTGGGTAGAGGGCCATGGTTTGGGGAAATGGGTTCTTAATGTAACACCACTGATTTCAACAAACAAATGAAGGCTCTTTGGCACCTTCTGATTTCTAGCAATAGAATAGATCACTAGATAAACCAGGGATAACAGCTTGGTTTCTAAAGGGAATAGATTCTGGACAGTGAGCTTGCTGGGATGATGTAACTCAGTTGGTAGAACCCTCGCCTAATATAAAGCCCTGAGCTTCACCCCAAGCATAAAAAAAGACCCCTTGAAGTTGGTTTGCTTTGAGGAAACCGAAGAACACAGCCTCTCAATTTCTCTATATTTGGAAACACGAAGGATAATGCTTCCTTTATATGCCAGTTTAAAAGTTACAACAGTGGAGCTGGAGAGATGGCTGGGGGTGGGGGAACTCCTGAATATGCAAATGTGAGGATCTGAGTTCAAGTCCCTAAAACCCAAAGTAGGGTTGGTACAAGAACACAGAAAGTGGAGACAGGAGGCTCTCTAGATGCTACCCTGGTACTCATAGTAGGAAACAAAAAGGAAACCAGGCCTCGAACAAGATGAAAGGTAAGGATGAACACCTGAGCTTCCCTGCTGACTCTCACGAATGTTTTGTACTCACACAAATGAGCACGCAAGCGCGCGCGCGCGCGCGCGCGCACACACACACACACACACACACACACACACACACACACTTGTATTGACCTAATTGTGACAAAGATTGTAGCTCAGGATGTCCATATTGGTTAGGCACACAGATAGCATTGTGAACATTTGCACTTTAAAGATTTCTGGTTTTATTTATGCATATATGATGGTACATCATGTGCATGCAGGATCAGAAAAGGGTGTCAGAGCCCTTTAAACTGAAGTTACAGGCAGTTTTAAGCTGCCATGTGGGTACTGGGACCCAAATCTGGGTCCTTTGCAAGAGCAATAAGTTCTCTTAACCCCTAACCATCTCTCCTGCTTGTATGAACCTTTAAAAGTCCAGGCTGGAAACAATTCTGTAGAAATTCGGAGAT